CTGTATATGTGTGTATATATATATATATATATATATATATATATATATATATATATGTGTGTATATGTGTATGTATATATATTTGTTTTTTGAGCATTATGTGTGGTACCTTATACTTGTGGTGATTATAATGCATGTTTATGATAAGCAGAAGATTTTTTGTTTTCACTTTGTGGACAATCAATGATAATAATGAAATGATAATAGTTATTATTATTTGAGATTACATTATTGTATTAGTTTGTTTTTTCTGAAGCAAACTTTTCGCTATTACCTATGATTAATCCCTCTTTTTTGGTAAATTGGGTGAAAATCTGTCTTAATTTACATCAATTTAGTGCACCCTTATTTATTTTGGTAAAATAACAAGCAGATTAACCTTTTACCAAATTCACTCAAATTATCATTTAAATAGCAAAAACAACAGATTTAATCAATAAGCAAATAAATGTAGTTGCTGTGGTCGCTGCCTAATTTCCAATTAAAGCAATATAATTTTAAACCCTCAAATCCCATGTTCCTCAGTGTCCACTAGAGGGCGCCTCTGGCGGTAATTACCGTCCGTCTCCGCCTCACCTCCCGTCTGCGTTTACTGGTGGACGATAACCAGAGGCGGACAGTAGCTAAGTACATTTACTTGAGTATTGTACTTGAGTACACTTTTTGAGTATCTGTACTTTACTTGAGTATTATTTTTTCTGGAAACTTACGACTGTAACTTCACTACATTTGAAAGACAAATATTGTACTTTTCACTCCACTACATTTCTATCAAGTTCCTTGAAGTAGAAAGTCGTTAGCAGCTATCCCCCATAGGTTTTTAACACTCTAAAAGCTCTTTATTCCAAAGATACTACAAGCTAGTCAGTGTATTCAGTAGGTGTAATGTATTGTAAGTTGCTTCAGAGGTATTGCAAGTATTACATACAACAATAATAAAACAGTGCATTGCCATAAAAAAAGGAAATTTACTTTTGATACTTAAGTACTTTTAAAAGCAAGTACTTCTGTACTTTTACTTAAGTAAAAATCTGTCTTTACAACTTTTACTTGTAATGGAGTAATATTTGACCAGCAGTATCTTTACTTTCACTCAAGTAATGGAGTTGTGTACTTTGTCTGCCTCTGGCTGGGATGCATGTAAATAATTTTCGACAGTTTCTGTTTGCTCTGTAATTATGTTGCTTGGATAACTGTGAAGATGCTTTGACACCTAAAGTTTGTTCAATTGTGATATTGTCATCAGTTGGTGATGTGTGGGTCACATTGCATCGTAGGGTTACAATAACAGCTATTAACTCAATAAATATGTGTCACTGCTGAAACACTCGCTTTTGTTCAATTCTGTGGGACCGTAAAAGCCCTGACATTTCCCTCGATTTATTTTGAAACGGCACATTTGAAAAACATAAACACAGTTATAATAAATTTAATTTGCAGCTGAGAGGAGAAAATGTGCATAAATAACCTCTCCATGATCCAGCACTGTTGGTGTTTGGCAGCATCAGGAAGAACCCTTGTGCATCTGCTTCCTGTTTATGCCGTTACTCAGCAATTCTGGAGTCAAAAGTCTGGCAGAAATTCAATGGACGATAACCCGTCCTGCCCCACCTCTCCTCTTGAAATATGGTCCCACCTGCCGTCTGGCAGCGCTGACAGCGGATGACGGCTGGGAGGAAATACCACCGGGAATGAATTTATGGGAGTGTTGGGCGCTGACAGGCCAGGTGAGATAGCAGCGCGAGGAGAGGAGAGGAGAGGATGCTGCACATCCAGAAACAGCTGACCTGTCACTTATAAAGCTGTTTATGGTGAGTGGGAAAAACGTCGACAGATATAAACTCGTTAATTACAGGGGAGGAAACCTCACATGAGTCCATCTCCATACAGGCTCCTGTGCAAAGACGAGTGGCCATACACAATTTTTAATTTAACTTAAAGCTTAAATTTTCTACGAAAGAAAGTGTTTAGTTTATAAAATGCAACTCAGCATTTCCCAAACGTCTCTATAGGGATTTGTTAGATCATAACAGAAATGTAGAACTGGACAGAACTGAACTAAATAAAAAAGCCTAATAAACAATAGTCTAATGGCAAAAAAAAAAAAACTAAACTAATTAAATTATATATAAAAAATTATATTTTTATAAATTGTATTAAATAGTTTTATTAAATATTGTTTTATTATAATTGGTTAATCAAAACTCATATTTTTTCAATTACTGGAAATAATAATTATTATTATTATCAATATTAAAATTATTATTTTTGTAATTTATTAATAATTTATAATAATAGTTAAAACAGCTACTAGCCAATTGTTTGCCTCAGAAAATATAAACAAAACATTACCGTGTAAAATATAGTTATGTATTTCAACTTTTTTCTTGAAATGTGGTGATCACTTAAATTCATTTTTAATTAATTAATTAGTTTTCATTTATAATTATAATAATTATTATTATTATTGTTACATTTATTATTTATAATTTCTAATAATTGTATAATTATAAATATTGTTTACTTTATTTACACAATGTAAAAATATCCCATGAAGTATTATAATTAATCAGAGCATTAAAAATCAATAAATCAATCAATCAGTCAGTCAATCAATCAATTACTTGATTAGTAGGAGATAGTAATCATTCAGCAGACACAATTTTACACAACAACATTACATTACACTGTAAGTCGGCCTGGACTAACATGAGCTTAAGTGTCTTAATCAAAGCAACAATGATGGTTCATGGCTCAAATCTTCAGAGATTTAACAAGGAATATATTGATTTCTCATAAAATCAACTAAAGTGCAGAAATCACAAATAAAATATCACTTCCCAACAGACCACCCTCATCAGAAATATAGATAGATGATAGCACATCTGCATTAATATATGGAAAGCTTCAAAAAAAATCCTAAACTGCAAGTACGGACTTATAAATATAAGCAACTCCTTCTGGATCTTGGTCATTATTCATACCTAAAGAAAGCTGACAGAAAGAAAGCTTTATGATTTATGCAACGCTTATGGACACATTGCTGAATAATTGCAGCTACAGGCAGAAGAAACAAGTGGCAGAAGATTTCAGACGTCTACCTTTTGCCCACATCAGCCCCGTTCCAGCAGGCCAGTCCATCTGCAGAGGCCAACTCGCTCACACACAGCTGGTCGGCCAGGCCGCCGTAGAAGGCGCGGTATAGACGCAGACTGCTGATGAACTCTCTGGAGAGACACAGAAGAGTGTTTCATTGTCTGTCCAGTAGATGGTGGACTAACACAGCTGTTCAACACTCATGTCTACAGCTGCATTTGAGCTCTGGAAACACATGCAGCTTCAAGAAATTTTATAAGAAATTATTTCAATTACTAAACTAATGTAATGTAAGTAGTTTATATTTTGCATATCTAATATCCCCTTGTTATATAACATATTATTGATTAAAATATTATATTAACATATACATTACTTAAAAATTAATTAATTAATTCATATAAATTATTTATATATATATAATATATATATATATATATATATATATATATATATATATAAAAACAATTATGTACAAAGCCTAATTTATACTTAATACACTTATTTTAAACATTTTCTTTTATATTATTATAATTAATTATGTATGTACAAATACAAATTGATACTGTTTATTGTTAAAAATAAAGTATTGTATGTTTTTTTTTCTGTATGTGAAACAAAAAAATGTTACAAATGTATTCATAATATTAATGTTATTAACACATGTTTAACATACTATTATACTTTTTTAAATTATTAATTAAAAATACTACATTAATATATAACATATTATGAATTACTTATGTACGATTATGTAGTTATGTAGTTATGTAAGACCAATTCATAACTATAATAACTATTAATATGTTTATCAGATATATTTTTAAAACACTATTACACAAAATATTGTTTCATTATTATTAATCATTATATATACTACAAAGTCCAGTCTATACAGCTATTTCTATGGAAGAGAGAAAAAAAATCAAATATTAAACATTTTTGATGACTTCATTATTCTAAACTGTGAAAATAGTCATCATAAAACAGAAGATGGGTAGATGTGTCCAGAGCTTTCGCTGCAGTACAGTGTGTTGGTGACTGCAGATGTTTTCCAGACTTACTTCCTCCTGTTGCTGAGCGTGTCCTCTGTGTTTCTGATCACTTCTTTCAAAGGAATAGAGTCTTGGCCGGCGAGGCCGTGCTGAACGCTGCTCACCTGCTCCGGCTGTCTGCTGGGGTAACCGCACACCCTGTGCACCTGCACAAATTACACATGCACCAGCACCATTACCAACATATCCACACGCATATCCATTATTACAATTATTACGATATTTAATAGTGCTTAAAGCTTAGGACTGGTAAAACTTGCACTTTTTGCAGGTCAAAAGGGGTCGATGTGCCTGTAGTAGCACGATCAGCCACTAGATTATGCTGTTTTTTAAGTCATGCAATACCAGCAGTTGCAAGACTGTAAAGGTAAGAGAAAGAGAGAGCAAATCTTTCTTCACGAAGAAAGGAAAAGAGGTGGTGAAAAAGAAGAAATGTAACTGAGTAAATGGTCAATAATATCCAGTAAACAGTCCATGAGTCAGACAGTAGTCTCCGCATCAGAAGGCTCATCCATGGATTGTTTGGAGACAAAAATGGCAGCTCTGCACCATCTGAAGCCAAGTTGTTTGAAACTACCAAGTCCAATCTGAATTTTCTTCTGTTTTCTTTCTTATACATCATATATACTTCATGTGATTAATTAATGATAATTTGTAAAAATAGTATTTTGAAAAAATATATCTTAAGATTCATAAATTCATGTTATTTTACTCTGTGTGTGTGTGTGTGTGTGTGTACAGTGGCTAAAGTGGCTAATGTGTGTATATTATGTTATAATTAATTCAAATTAATTTGTAATTGATATTAAGTTGTTTTAAATCATACTAATTACTATTATCACATTATTATCAAATATAATATTAATTTAAAATATTATTAACAGATGTTTTCAAAATATTACAAACTATTGTTAATTTAGTACAAAAAAAAAAAAAAAATAGGTTCTCAAATTTGCACGTTTATGCATTTCTTACCGTTATTTTCTATCTTCTCGGGTATGCAAAGGATGACATGAATATTCGAGATCAGCCTTTTGGCATTCAGGTGATGTATCATTCTGTGCTCTACACCTTCATAGATGTAGATCAACGATTATTCAACAAATGTCTAGATGCAGTGAACATGTGAGTGTTGCACTTGTTTTCTCGTTGTTTAATTGTTTTAGGTGCGGAATGTGCGCTGCATTAAGTGTCATAAATGGGGTCATGTGAACACGGATCGTGAGTCTATCAGGGATCAACGCTAGCTCTATGACCAGTGATGAAGCAGGTATAATGCTCTGTCCTTATAGTGTCCAATTCAGTCCTTATGGCAGGTTTGCTCCACTTATATTAGAGCTGATATACACTTTCAGACCTGTAGATGGCGACAATGTCTAAAAATGCACCTAGAAATTCTACAATACAACACAAGTTCTGAATACAGGTGTTTTTGAGCCAGTGCCATGTGACTAATGGCATCATATGAAAGTGGACTTTAGATCACACACACACAGTCCCTAACAGTAGTAACCTTAAGGAGTAACTATCCTGAGCTGAAGCAGTTAGGCAAACGTTTATGTGCATTTCATGGTTTTAAGGTTTTAGATGATCTACTATAATCTAATAAATTATTTGTGATTTATATGATGCTGGTGAAGTAGTGATGGCATAAATTTAGTGATAGCAAATTCATTTATTTTGAAGAATAAAAAATATGATGGAATATTTCATACACAAACTACTACAGTATTATTATCCAGACATGTCAACTCAAATATAGACTGGTTATAGACATGGTTATTATAGTTTACTAAAAAAAAAAAAAATATATATATATATACTACTACTAATTTTATATGTAAAAGACCAATTTATAATACATCTAATTAAAAAAATGAAGTATTTCAATTCTAAAATACTTTAGGTATAAAAATAGGTGTTACCACATGGTTGTGTTTTCAAGTAATTTTTTGTTTAATTTCCAACTAAAATAAGCACATCATGATACGCACACTGATATTTTGGTTATACCATCCAACACAATTTGAGACTACTCAGACACTAATAATAATGTACACACTCATTCATTTTATAAAGATCTATTCCTCCAGAACAACTGGGATTGTCTGGAATTAAACATGTTTTTATTGGTCTAATACTAGCTGTGACCCCCCCCCCACCACCCCACCCCCCAACACCTTATTAAAGATGTGATTCTGATCTACACACACGACCCTTGCTGATCAAGTGTCACTCGATCGCTGACAAAGCCATACGGTTTAAGGGCTTATTCTACCCCCACCCACCCCACACACACACACACATGCACAAGACACTGCATCTGCAAACCTTCACATTTCAACAACACCACAAAACTATCTGAAAACATGCATAGTGAATCCCACAGAAGCCCAGAATGACTGCAGGCGTCCAGCACACATCAGCATGGCCAGCCGTGCCGCTGCAGCTGCCCACATTGAGAGTATTTTGGGAAGGTTCTGGGCTCTCTGGCTGCAGCATGGCATGTGTGACTGCGAGCAACTCATGTTTAGGCTGTACCGCATTCCACGCCGTCCATATAGTAGCTACATCACGGGTTTAAGATGCTGCTTGGGAAATTCTGAAATGAAAAATGCAAAGGCCAATGTTTGGGTTTGGAAGAAAAATATTTTTGGTTCACCTAACTGTGAATGCAAGGTTTTTCAACATGCCACAGCCATAAAAGTAAACAAACATTGAGCCTTCAGGATTTTATATATGGAATTAAATTCAAAATTTCAAGGTCAAATGCTGCCGTCATGTCAGAATGTCACAATTTTTGTGAAAAACAGAAATATGTATGTAATAAGCCAATGCATCAGTTTATTCCAGCCAAAATCACTGAAGCAGGGCTTTTCTGGAGGAATTAATATATAATACGAATATATATATAAATGTATGATATGACATGAAATATGATATGAAAAAAAAAATTATATATATATATATATAAAATATTATCTACTTTTTACTTAGTCTTAGAATTTGTCTTTAGCATTAAATTAGTCTTAACATTTTATTTTATACACATTTATACACACATACACAAATTTTCTAGAAGTCCATCCAGCAAAATTGCCTACATATAAACAAACATCCATATACAGTAAATATATTCACATAAATGTAGTAAATACGGGGGGAACTAGTGAGCAGGCGATGGAATAGAACGTGTTTGACGGAGCTCCTGCCTAAGTTTTAGTTAATTTTGTATTAAAAGCAACATATCCTTTGTAATTATCCTCAGCACGATTTGTAATATATACCTGCATAAACAGTGAGTGGGATGAATGAGCCTTGTATAGAGTGATGGCCTCTAAGCTTCGGAAATATAAATACTGCGGATCCTCCAGTTCTAGGCCTAATACATCCTCGATGCAAATTTCCTGCTTCCGACCGTGCATCGACTCCTCCAGACTTGACCACGAGCGAAATTGATATGGAATAACTGAAATCTCAGATTCTGATGTCCTTAAAAGCAGATATATCTGCAATGATAAGGACTGAACTTAAGAACTCTCTCGCTGACGATTTCAACTTTTTAAAGAGCGAGCTACAAGCAGTTAGAACAGAAATAGCCAACAATGTGACGCTAATGCGAACTGATATTGAACAAATGAAGGCTACCATTAAAGATATGGAAGGCAACATGTCAATGTGGACGGATGAAGTGAACGAACTACAAGCCGTGGTGGGCACTTTGAAGACGGAACTGAAAGAGCTATGAGATAAATCCGAGGACATGGAGGGGAGGATGCGAAGGTGCAATATTCGAATCGTGGGTGTCGCGGAGGGACCGGGATCAGATTCCACGGAGTCGGTCTCTAAACTACTATCCGAAGTGCTGAAACTGGATAAGGAAGTTCTGGTAGACCGCTCACACCGCAGTCTAAGACCATTGACCCCCGGAGGAAAGCCACGAGTGATTGTAGCAAAGCTACACTACTATCAAGATTGTGTCGAGGTCTTGCATCGAGCACGAAATCAGGCTCCACTCTGGTTTAACGGTGAATTCATTGCAATATTCCCGGATTATACTGTGTAGCGCCTGCGTAGGATCATGCATGAGCGTTGGACGGTTTATGGCTTAAAAGACCCTTTTAGCCTTTTGACATTTGCATATAAATTACAGTTCTGGTCAGAGATGTTACGTTGTATAGGGGTTTTAAATTGCCAAATGGTTCTTCGCCGTCAAAGAAAATGATAAACGTTACAACTGATAGTGTCGCTAAAGCTCTGGCCGCATTCACGGACGTGAGCAACGAGGTGTTCGATATGGCTTACTGTTTCCTGCCCGATAACGGATCACTCACAGCGGTGCGGAAAGAGAATTCCTGGACCCGGACAAAGCCATGGCTCAAGAAGTACATCGTCGCTGGGGCTGAAACCGGAATATAACCGAAGATACTGACATTTTCCTCTCTTCGATATAAATCCGGTGGGACGCTTATAACTACCAGTTATAATGCAGTTATTTTGCATTCGTGATTTTGACTTATGGTAACTGTTGTCATATATTGTTGTTTTCCTCAGAACAAATTGGGTAGGGGCTCTGCTTAGTTTGGTTCAACCCGGAAAAGCACATAATGTGTGGACACAATTTTGGGGGGTTCCTGGTTCATCATGTTCAAGTTGATGACAAAGTTAGGGGTTATGTCAGACAATTTTCTTTTGTTTTATTTTTCTTAAAAGTGTATGCATTAATATTAAAGTTAATGTACATCAGGATATTTTGGAACATTTTACTGTTCTCAGCTCCATAACACTAAACTGTCTTTTCAAGCAAATGGTTGCTTAGTTAAAATGGTGAGTTGGAATGTTAAATCTCTTAACCACCCTGTAAAACGTAAGAAAGTGTTTACTCATTTGAAAAATCTCAGGGCTGATATTGCATTCCTTCAGGAGACCCATTTACGTGTCTATGACCACTGTCGTCTCAGAAGTAAGTGGGTGGGGCCAGACATTTCATTCCGACTTTAAATCTAAAACTAGAGGTGTGGCGATAATTCTCAGCAAAAATATACAGTTTGTGGTGACGAGTGTTGAGTCTGATCCGGCTGGACGCTTCCTAATCGTGGTGGGCCATTTATATGGGCTTCCTGTTATTTTAGCTAACATTTACGCCCCAAATTGGGACGATCACCTCTTTTTTAGTAATCTTTTCTCAAAAATGCCAAATATGGTAACACATCATCTGATCCTTGGCGGTGACTTTAATTGCATCCTTTCCCCTGCTCTGGGTCGTAGTGCTTCTAGAACGGTTTCAATATCTAAATCAGCGCATACGATCCACAATTTCCTTAAAACATACGGAATAGCTGATGTTTGGAGATTTTGTAACCCTAACACCCGGGCCTACTCCTTTTTCTCCCCGGTGCATAACTCATATTCACGAATAGATAATTTTCTTATAGACACAAGCCTTTTGTCATCAGTCATAAAATGCGATTATGAAGCCATAATTATTTCAGATCACAGTCCACTGGCTATGACAGTACGTATTGCTACCAAAGAACCAAACTACCGTCCGTGGAGATTTAATTCCACTCTCCTCTCAGACGAGTCATTTGTGAGTTATATTGCTTCTGAAATAGACACTAGGGAATGTCTGTGTCAACTATATGGGAAGCGTTAAAGGCATACCTGAGAGGCCAAATTATTTCGTTCTGTGCAGCTCAGAGTAGGGCTGGATGAAATGGCCAAAATTGATATCACAATATATTTCTTAATTTCGGTCGATACGATATAATTCCGATATCGATATCAACACTATTCAAAAAGCCTCATAAAAACGGCCAAGAACGGCCACAACAGATGTCTGTACCTACAAACTCAGAGTAAAATTAGAAAGAATCGACTTAAGAAATTGACAGATCAAATATTAGAACTTGACTCTTTGAATAGTTGTTCACCATCTCCAGCAGCACTTAAATAATGGATGCTATTACAAACCGAATTCAATTTGCTGGCAACTAAACAAGCTGAATATCTTATCTCTAAATGGAGGTGTAATTTTTATGAGAATGGGGAAAAGGCTGGGAAACTACTGGCTCATCAGTTGCAACAGCAATCAGTTCGTCATGTTATCTCAGAGATACGTGATGATCAAGTCCTAAAAAAAATGTATCGCTTGATGCTGAAAAGGCGTTTGACCGGGTGATATGGGATTTTCTTTTCTTTACTCTTAAAAAGTTTGGTTTCGGATCTAACTTTATCTCTTGGATAAAACTTTTATATTCAGTCCTTTTGGCTGAAGTACGTACTAATAATAATAATAGTCACCTTTTTTCGAATTGAAGCACGGCACAAGGCAGGGCTGTCCTCTATCGCCACTCCTCTTTGCTATTGCGATTGAACCCCTAGCCATAGCATTAAGGTTATCAACTATGGAGGGGTGTGGAGAGGAAATTTAGAATATAAAGTATCCTTATATGCTGACGATATGTTGTTGTATATCTCTGACCTGTCCTCAAGCCTTCCAAATTTATTAAGCTTACTCAATGAATTTGGCCAGTTGTCTGGCTATAAAGTTAATTATCAAAAGAGTGAACTCATGTCAATTGGCTCAACAATTTCAGATGTGCCCCCCTCTTCAATCCCTTTCAAGATTAATATGATAAAGTTTAAATATTTGGGGGTATGGTTTACACATAACTTTAAGGATCTTTATAAAGCCAATTATCAACCTCTTTTAGCCAATCTGAAGCAGGATTTGGAAAGATGGGACTCTTTGCATCTCTCCCTAGGTGGAAGGATTAACATTAACAGACAGCCAGCTGGGCAGAAATAGAGAAACCATCCATTCAATACAACCCACTGTCAGTATTATGTTCTAAGCTGCCTTTGGCTCACTCTTTATCTAATTTTACACTGTCCCCAATTGTGCTGCATTCTATTAAAATGTGGTTCCAGTTTAGACATAATTTTGCACTTAACGATCTCCCGCTTGCCTCACCTGTAGCACAGAACCACCTATTTACTCCACCTATGTCAGATGCAGCATTCGATATATGGTCAAAAAATGGTATTAGGTCATTACATGATTTGTATTTAGATGACACATATGCCTCCTTTGAACAGTTAGTCCAGAGATTTGCTATTCCCAACACACACTTTTATAGGTATTTACAGCTTAGAAGCTTTGTATCATCTAATTCAAACTGTTTCCCCTGTTGTCCTCATCGATCTCTCATTGATTCTATTCTCGAGCATGGGCGTGGAGTAAAACAGTCCATAAGTAAAGTCTATGGACTACTTAATCTACATAATATGACTACCTTAGAAAATTTTAAACAAAAATGGGAAAAAGAAATGGAAGATCAAATATCAGATGACGTTTGGCAGGAAGCAATTTGGACAATACATTCATCTTCTATTAGTCTTAGACACACAATTATTCAGTTTAAAATTGTACATCGTCTTCATTTGTCTAAGGACAGACTGGCAAAGATTAAAAGTGATGTGAACCCTACATGTGACCGATGTAAACAAGCTCCTGCCACTCTATACCATATGTTTTGGTCCGAAAATGTCTGAAATTGCTAGAATATTGGGGTTCAATTTTTGAGAATTTTTCTAAATTGTTCGGTAAAATAATTGTTTCCGGCCAGGCTGACCGCAATATTTGGAGTTGTTACTCAAGACTATAATCTAAGCAGATCCCAGTGTGATGTTATTGCTTTTTGTTCACTTCTAGCCAGGAGGTTAATTTTGTATAAATGGAAAGACTCTTCGCCTCCAACATACAGACACTGGATTAAAGATGTTATGTGTAACATACAATTGGAAAAGCTCCGATGCTCAAATAAGAGATTCTTTACTACATGGCAACCTTTTCTAACCTTTGTGGAGAACACTGCTTCTAAAGAATTGTACTGAATGTACATTGTCTAAAATTGTTTTTATTTCTATTTATGTATGTGTGTGTGTGTGTGTGTATATATATATATATATATATATATATATATACACAATCATATTGTTTT